GGGCAAATTAATGAAAAATACTATTTTTTTAAACCGGGTCTCTAAAAATTGTTGTTCTGATCATGGTTCTAAAAGATCGCTTAATTGGTTCTGAAAGGTCGCTTTATTTGTTTTTAAAGATGGTTTAGTTGTTTGTTAAAGATCGTTAGTGCTTGCTATTGATCGGTTAGTTTGTTCTTAAAGATCGTGAGTTTTTTCTTAAAGATCACTTAGTTTTTTGTTAAAGATCGTCCAGTTTTTGTTAATGATCGCTTTTTTGTTGTTCTTAAAGATCGTTTAGTTTGTTCATAAAAATTGCTTAGTTTGTTGTTAAAGATCGATTAGTTTGTTGTTAAAGATCGCTTAGTTTGTTCATAAAGATCCCATAGTTTGTTGTTAAAGATAATAGATTATTTCCTTAAGATCAATAAGTTTGTTCTTTAAGATCTTTTAGTTTGTTCCTAAAGAGCATTTAGTTTTCTGTTAAAGATCGCTTAGTTTATTCTTATAAATCATTTAGTTTACTATTAAAGATCATTTGTTTTGCTCTTAAAGATAATTTAGTTCGGTCTTAAAAAATCGTTTATTTTGTTCTTTAAGATCGTTTAGTTTGTTATTAAAGATCGCTTAGATTGTTCTTAAAGATCGCTTAGTTTGTTTTAAAGATCGTTTAGTTTGTTCTTAAATGTCGCTTAAATTGCCTCATTTTCTGTCTCAGGTTGATCCTGTATAGTATCGGCCAAAACGTGCCAAAGTGTCCTCGTTTTATAGCCATTTTAATTGTTTCTATGGTAAAGTAGTTACTATCCTAGTGTCTCATTTTTATTTTACTTAGTTTACATGTTTTTAATAATTGTAAAGCGCTTAGAGCTTTAAGGTAAGCGCTATATAAAAATGCCTACATAAATAAATAAATATCGCTTTCACTGAGTATTAGATGACCAAAAACCTGAGTCACTTTCGGCCGGATGGCCGAAAGTCTAAGTCAATTTCGGCCGAAACCGAAGAAAAACCGAAAGTTAACTTTTCTCTCTCGGCCAAAACCGAAATTAAGCCGAAAGTTAACTTTTCAGTTTCGGCCGAAACTTGGCCGAAAGTGATAAAATGACCACTTTCGGCGCCGAAACCGAAGCCGAAATTCGGTCGGCCTCTACTTTACGTTTCAGTTCATTGTTGGGAAGCTGTAGGGAAAGTATCTCGTATGATTTTCCCTGCTAATTTTTTTTATGCTACGGGTATTTTCGTATATAATTACAACTAAGTGTATTCGCCATGGGTCCTGTTAGGAAAATAAGAGTAAGAGGAAAGCTGTAAGGGGATCCTCGCTTGTTTGAGTTACATTTGAGTTTAAGAAAGATCATATTGCGTGAAACTGGTAAAAGTGCGGCTGATCTAGCTACTGTGTTTAGGATGGCTTAATTGTATGTTAGTACGATTTTAAAAATTTAGAAGATGTGGCAAAAAGGGTTAAGAGATCAAAAAGTACAGAAGATATGGCAAAACTCCTTTTAGTTGGAACTAATAAAAAAAAAGAATATTTGATTAATTACAAATTTAAAAAAAAAATGATATTATTTGTTGATAATTAACCTTAAAATCCAATGTATTAACTATTAAAATCCTTTTTGAACAAATCGAGTTTTTGTTACCCAGGTACAAGTTAATCAAGTTTATATTATTTTAAGAGGAATATAGTCTTAGGACTCAACCGATTTGAACTCAAATGGTGTTTTCGAATGGATTGAGTTTGGATTCCAAGGTATGACTGTATCGGACTTCTATATAACTTTTATATCAAAGTGCAATTCAAAATGTATTGTATATCAGTTTATTCATACCAACACATACTACATATTGACCATCATGCATCATTTATTTATAGCTATACAGCGGGTTTAATTGTTATATTGTTTGAACACGACCAAGGAAATTTTCAACTTGATTAGCACTTGAGAAGTTGCCAAAACTTGATTAGTTGCCATGACTTGAGTAGTTGTCATGACTTGAGGAGTTGCTATGACTTGAGGAGTTGCTATGGAGTTGCTATGACTTGAGGAGTTGCTATGACTTGAATAGTAGCCATGACTTGAGTATTTGCCATGACTTGAGTAGTTGCTATGACTTGAGGAGTTTCCATGACTTGAGGAGTTGTCATGACTTGAGTAGTTGCCATGACTTGAGGAGTTGCCATGACTTGAGTTGCCATGACTTGAGTAGTTGCCATGACTTGAGGAGTTTCCATGACTTGAGTAGTTGCCATGACTTCAGTAGTTGCCATGACTTGATTAGTTGCTATGAGGAGTTTCCATGACTTGAGTAGTTGCCATGACTTGAGTAGTTGCCATGACTTGAGGAGTTGCTATGACTTGAGTAGTTGCCATGACTTGAGTAGTTGCCATGACTTGAGCAGTTGCCATGACTTGAGGAGTTGTCATGACTTGAGCAGTTGCCATGACTTGAGTAGCAGTCATGACTTGAGTAGTTGCCATGACTTGAGGAGTTGCCATGACTTGAGGAGTTGCCATGACTTGAGTAGTTGCCACGACTTGAGCATTTGCCATGACTTGAGCATTTGCCATGACTTGAGGAGTTGCTATGACTTGAGTAGTTGCCATGACTTGAGTAGTTGCCATGACTTGAGCAGTTGCCATGACTTGAGGAGTTGTCATGACTTGAGGAGTTGCCATGACTTGAGTAGTTGCCATGACTTGAGTAGTTGCCATGACTTGAGGAGTTGCCATGACTTGAGCAGTTGCCATGACTTGAGGAGTTGTCATGACTTGAGGAGTTGCCATGACTTGAGTAGTTTCCATGACTTGAGCTGTATTTTGTTTAAAGTTAGGGAAAGTTGCTCAGTTCATGAGCCTCAGTCTCTCGTCCATGCCTATTTGATCTTATCCTTGCCTATTTTATCCAATGGCAAGACTTAGTCAAGACGACTAGAAATTATGCGTTAAAAAGCTACTTTATTTCGAAGATAAATTGTTTATTTTTTTAAGGGAACACAGTAATATGAAAAAAAATTTTATCATCATTTTCGTCCCAGATTCTGATTTTATCTCCATGTTTTTAAAGTGCAATTTTCAACATGTTCAAATGATTCAATTGAAGTCTTTCATATGTTCAAATGAAGTTTATATTTTTACATATGTTCAAATGCTTCAGATGAAGTCTTTTATATATGTTCAAATGATTCAAATTATGTCTTTCATATGTTCAAATGATTTTGATGAAGTCTTTCATATGTCCAAATGATTCATCTGAAGTCTTTCATATGTTAAATGATTTTGAAGAAGTCTTTCATCTGTTCAAATGATTTTGATGAAGTCTTTCATTATTTTCAAATCATTTTGATGAAGCCTTTCATATATTCAACTAATTTTGATGAAGTCTTTGATGTGCACAAAAATACCTGGTTGTGATGAATCAACTATTTACAAGCAGAGTATCATATATTTATTTCCATCAACAGCTGTTGCTTGATGGTTGTTTTGCAGGCTTCTGTAAATTTTGTACTTAATAAGGAGATATATTTGACATACAAATCTATTCAGCAAATTAGCATCACAGGCAAGACTGTTTGCAGATGACACAGCAGTGTATAGGACGATCGCCAACAGATCTGACCAGGACCAGCTACAACAGGATCTCAATCTGTTAGCTGAGTGGGAGATGAGCTGGGACATGGAATTTCACCCTGCCAAGTGCCAGACACTATCAATCTCTAGAAGTTGTACTCCTCTACACTACCAATACAAACTGCACGGCCATATTCTTGAGCAAGTTTCCTCCGTAAAGTACCTGGGTGTTACCATTCAAAGAGAGGTCCGCTGGGACGAGCATATTAACAATGTATGTAACCAAGCAAACCAAGCCTTGGGGTTCTTAAGGCGAAATCTAAAGATTGGCAACTCCTGTGTGAAAGAAAGAGCATATAAAGCCTTTATCCGTCCGATTTTAGATTATGCATCTTCAGTCTGGGACCCATTTACCCAGAAGAGCATTGACAGGTTGGAGGCGGTCCAGCGACGAGCAGCACGCTTTGTCCTAAACCGCTACAGGAATACCTCTAGTGTTGGCAGCATGCTAGAAACACTAGGCTGGTCACCATTGGAGAAACGACGACGACAATCCAGGCTCTCCATGATGTACAAGATAAATAATGGGCTGGTCCACTGTTCCAGTATTAAACAGAAACTCGTCCCTCTCCCCCATAGACAGCGACGAGGCCATGACAGGCAATTCAGGCTCATACCAGCAAGAAGCCAGTATAGGAGCTGCTCATTCCTGCCCAAGACAATCAGGGACTGGAACCATCTTTCAAAAGGAACAGTTGAGGCGACAACACTAGACGCATTTGTGTCTATTGCCTCAAGCCTTCAAACCCCTAGTGCATAATTTCCTCATCACCACCAGTAACAGAAACATTGCAAATCCCATCTACATGCATAGGAGCCAAAATGATCAATAAATTGATCGTGGGCCCTTAAGATATAGAAGAAGAAGCAAGTGGAATCAACTGCAATGTTAACCTATTTTATTATAATTAACACACTACTGTGCAATGTTTAACTATTTAAACTATTTTATTTTAATTAACACATTACTGTGCAATGTTAACCTATTTTATTATAATAACACTACTGTGCAATGTGAGTTTTTGTAATTATTTTGTTTTTACTCCCATTTTTGTATCTTTAAGTTAACTCAATACACATGTACAAGTTTTTTTGTTGTTGACAGATTCAGAGCAAACATTTACAGCAATAATCTTAATGTATCATGTAATATGGCAATATAATTAGTTACAGATGCATCATGGCTCCCCCATTCCATTGTCCTTGGTTTTGATTTTAAAAAAATTTTTTTTTGTAATTTAAATGGCAAGAGTATATTTTTTAAAAATTCAATCCAACCAAATTTCAGGCCACATTACTTAATATTTAGAAATGATGTCATTTATCTGTTTTTAATTAGAGGTTTTAAAAGTAAACATGAATAAATTGCTTTGTTTTTGTTTGGTTTTTTGGGGGTGAGGGGTGGGGGTTGTAAAGTTGAAAAATATTGTGGTCGTTTAATAGTTTTTGAGTTATGTATTTAAAGATAACCTTTCTTTATTTCTACACAAGCAGTTGATCACAGCTTTATTCTTTCATTTTACGCAAGCAGTTGATCACACATCTTTTTTAATGAATTAAATCGTTTTTTTAAAGCTTAATGTACTGTCATATTATTAAAGGTTTTCATTCCAAATTAATTATAAAAATAAAATCATTCATTTCTTATTCTGGTAGCAGTAATTTTTTTTCAACATCCTGGCGATGAAAAATGTGTTATTGTCATGTCTCTAAATGACTTTGCAACAAGACCCTGAAATTAATTTTATGCCACACTTTATCCTTTTGCAATGTAAAATTGACTTAATAAAATGTTATAACTTAATCTTTTTATTTTCTCATAGTTATAGTTTTAAAATAATTTATTTTGTCAATGCGAGTCTTGGATTGTTGCTGTAGTTTAACTTAATTTTTATTTTATTTTGCATTCTGGATTTTTATTCCTGAAAATGTATCTTAACTGTTCCATATTTTCTTTTGTTAGACAACCATTTTTTAATCCCACTCCAAGAAGACCTCCTCCTCCATTAGTAACTGCCTTACTGGACTGACTAAATTCTTCCAGCTCTCTCTCCCCCATTAGTAGCTGCCTTACTGGACTGACTAAATTCTTCCAGCTCTCTCTCCCCCATTAGTAGCTGCCTTACTGGACTGACTAAATTCTTCCAGCTCTCTCTCCCCCATAAATAGGTGCCTTTACAAGGCTAATGACTTCCTTTCACCCAGCTGTGCAACCATAGCTGGGGGTCAGTCACAGAGCTGGGGTCAGTCACCGAGCTGGGGTCAGCCACAGAAGTATGTGCCTCTGCAAGATCTTGGTCAAGAGGCTGTCATTTCCAATATTATTCCCCCAGAAGTCACAAATCTAAATGAGAACAAATAAGTCCCTGTTATGACTAAGGGAGTTCACTGAATGGCTGTTTTTTTTTTTTACTAGTGAAATAATTTAATGTATATGTCTTGTGTTTAAATTATTTAATTGAAAAATGTGGACTTTATTCTAATATCAATTTATTTATGTGCTGAAAATTTATATGTACATTGCAATCAAAAAACATTTCCATTTGTTTGGATCAATAAAAGAATCTTATCTTATCTTGATTGATTTCTAATTGCCTCTCAGAATTTACATTAAAATTAAATATTGTTTTTAAGTTTTTGAAAATAATAATCAAGAGTTGATTTTTCTATTTGTTAAAAACTATTTCATTGAAAACCATCTGACCAAATGTTAATCTACTCTTAAATAGCTAATTCTCAATGAAAGAAACAATTATTTTACTAAAATAAAATCGATAAAGATGTTTGTATAAATATGAAGCATTAATAACAACTTAAATAAATGGACCTTGTACTTATCCAATTCTTATTTTGTAATAAAGTCATCTGGACATCGCCCCTTATACGCAATAATGCAAGCAGAATCAAGATATTTCAGCACTCAAACCCAGAATCAGGCATCTTGGCTTATAGCGAATTTCTTGCAGAGATCAAAAGACACTGAAGGTGTTTCCTTCATAAATAGTCATTTGTTAATGTTAAGTTTTGATCATTTGTTGATGTTAAGTTTTGATCATTTGTTGATGTTGAGTTTTGATCATTTGTTGATGTTAAGTTTTGATCATTTGTTGATGTTGAGTTTTGATCATTTGTTGATGTTATGTTAAGTTTTGATCATTTGTTGATGTTAAGTTTTGATCATTTGTTGATGTTGAGTTTTGATCATTTGTTGATGTTATGTTAAGTTTTGATCATTTGTTGATGTTAAGTTTTGATCATTTGTTGATGTTGAGTTTTGATCATTTGTTGATGTTATGTTAAGTTTTGATCATTTGTTGATGTTAAGTTTTGATCATTTGTTGATGTTAAGTTTTGATCATTTGTTTATGTTAAGTTTTGACTTAACACAAAATAATTTTCAATGCAAATGATTTGCTTCCCCTGCCTCTACTCTAGATTTATGCTACTTGCAACACCAAGATAAAAATACACTGCACCCTCATTCATAGAGTTAGAAATTACATTTCTAAAATATTTTTCATTTTGAAAAAAATCTTCAAACTTGAAATTAATTCCTATAACTAATTTTGCAATAATAATCACGTATCTCATTGGCCTAAAACACAATTTAATGTAAAAATCACTTACTTTTTTTGTAAACCCATTATTGGTCTTAATTTTAATTTTGTTGCTATAATAACTTTTGATTAAAAAACTTCCAAATTAAAATGGAAGTTAAGCGTTATTTATGAAATAATAATTTATATAAATTGGTAATATAAAATTTAAAACTCTTTTTAAAAGTAGATAAAAATAAGTAAATAAATAAACATATATATATTTTTATAATATATTTATAAGATATAAATTAGCAGGCATTTGAGATGTAATTAGTTACTTGGAAATGTCATTTTGTTATTGGTTGTTTTAAAAATAGGTAGGATGTTGGTGAAAAATGCATTTTAGAATAGTTTCATAATACACAAACAACTTATATATGTATAAAAAAACAAGGCACTAAACATTTAATTTTCCATTAGTTTAATGCCAGGGTAAGAAAGATTCATAGTTGTGGTTTATTAATATGGAATTCATCATGTTCAAATTACCAACACATCACCATCATCCACACAAAACATTCCATGTACACTGTACACATCACATCTCAACTTTAAACACATCTCATATCACCACTAAACCCAATCAAGTTATGCAGGCACTGGACTGACAAACAATTCAAGGAGCATGCTCCAAAAGGAAACTTTAGGCAATGTAAAGCAATGATTGTTATTTTTTGTACATGGCTAAATGGGTAACATTTATTCAAAAAGAATAACTCAAAATGTCAAGGGCTTACTGTTGTATCTACTATAATCAACAGTATCATCATTTATGTCATGACATGACTCAGTTCTTTGTGACAGTCCAACAGCCACTGTACACAGTACGGTAAACTTCTGATGCTTCAAATTAAAAAAGTTGACCTTACTGATTGTCTATTGTTTGGTGACTTGGAAAGTCCCCCGTTTATGGTTTTAGTACAGGTTATTAAGACTTGATTGCATTAAGTCTTGACTGCATTAAGTCTTGACTGCATTAAACTTGACTGCATTTCCAGGGTTATAAAAATAAATTGTAATGAGTTATTTTCACAACCACAAAAATGCTTAAGAAAAAAAAAACGTTAAGAAAATATAAGGATTAGAATGTAACACTTGAACTGCTACCATACACCACCTACCACTTGAACTGCTACCATACACCACCTAGCACTTGAACTGCTACCTTACACCAACAAGAACACTTTACATTATGAGTCCTTCATATGTGGTTTCAGTATTTCAATGCTAGTAAATCATGATGAAGCCCACAAAGCAAAATTGAAAATAACCCAATAATAAAAAAAAAAAGATATTTGGTGAAATAAAAAAAAAATACATTCTAAAGTCTAGAGAATCATGGACTCTAATATCACAGAGGGAAAAAAATTGAACAGGAATCCAAGCCACTTCTAATACAAAAGAACATTGCATAGATCAGTTGTATGAAAAAATCCCAAAGATATTTGAAAATGTGGAGGGAATTTACATGCTAAATATTTTAGAGGATTTAAAAAGCAATTTTTTTTTAAACATGTCTGTGGAGTTCGAAAATATTTACTGACACTAATTCAAGGTATGACTTTTATTTACTCTGTTGTCAACTGAAACAGGACCAAACATGACTTTAAGTCCATACACTCATTGACACAGGACCAATGAATTCATTATTTCCACAAATTCTGGTATTTTTACCATATTTGACTTTGACCAGGAGTTATAGACATGTTTTTACCACACGTCTTCTCTCCCAACTTTTGACTTCTACTCCACTACCCAGTTGAAACAAAACTGAAAGAGTTGATGTCAAAGTCAAAAATGCTTAGTTACATTTTATTCCAGGTAGACAATTTTATGACAAAATACAGTAAATAGAACTGATTCCAGTAGGATGACTTTCTAAAAAAGATTTTTTATTTTGGTGAGGTGAAGGGGGGCAACAAAATTCCCTTTCTTATTTTTGTCTCATTTCAAACAGAATATCTAGATGTTGTTTTGTATATTATCATACAAACCTTTATCATTCACTTTGCATTAGATTTTCCAAAATTATGGTATGATCATAAGATGTCATTTATATGGATAATGCCTGGTTAATTAATGATTATTTCTAAATTTTTTAAGCAAGTCTCAAATAATTAAGTATATTAGAATATTTTTTAAAATAATATAGTTAAGTTTTGAACATAATTTTATCTTCCTAATAAAAATAAATTATTTTTAGATCTTTTTCAAACTTTCCCACCCAAAGCAAAACTATTCATTTTCTAGACAGAACATTTCATACGCTACATTTGGATGGTAAACATTCTAAAAGAACATAGATGATAGTAGTCTTTGTTCTCCATGTCCTCTCAATTTAAATGTATCTCTCTGTCAACCTCTCACAATGTAATGTCTAAACAGATTGAGGAAGTGTCTCAAATGCAATTACACGTTATGTCAATTTAAATCTAATAAAATATTAAGACAGTTTTTCCAGCTTGATTTTTTTTTTAAATGGGAGAAAAACATTGTTTATAAAATGATTGAATAACTTATATTTAAAATAATGGGAAAAAGCGACGTCTCTGCATATCTTAAAACAAAAAAATCAGAACTATAAAATATGTGAAGCTTAAAAGATAGGAGAAGCTATGACTATATGAATGATATTATTTTATACAGCTTGGCTTAATTAAATCAAACCCTCAAGAGTCATACAAGTAAAAAAAAAAACATTGTATGCATTAACAAAAGCGTATACAAAAATATACCCAAAGTGTAACAGTTAACAAGAATCATGGAGAAATGGTAGTATTTTTTTTACTACTGAATGGTCCCAGGTCAACTGCTGTCAGATGTAGCAAGTCAGAGCACACAACAGAACAATCAGCAGATGTGCTGGAGGTGTGGGGTGAGTTATAAACCCAGTGTTCCAAGTAATTAACATCTCTTAAAGCACTCTCAAGTTTACCAGAGCAATGAAGATGGGGTGACATCAGATTCCTGGGTTAGGCAGATACCATTCATGCAGCCCAGACCAATGACAAAACCAAGGTCAAGGATAAAGCAGTAAAAACACACACCGAGTTTATTTCTTGTTTGTTATCTTCGATGAACAACTACAAAACAGGCCAATTCAGGAGAGAGCTACTCAAATTACTTCCTTTATTATGTTTCATAGAGGATAAAGCTTGAAGATGTAATCTTTCATATCATTGTGCACACTGGCGCTGGAAGAATCTGTCAATGTGCACACTGGCACTCAAGGGTACTGCTCTGGGTGGGTGCTCATCCTGACACTGGAGGTTCCTGTTCTGACTGGGTCCGCACCCTGACACTGGAGGGTCCTGTTCTGACTGGGTCCGCACCCTGACACTGGAGGGTACTGTTCTGATTGGGTCCGCACCCTGACACTGGAGGGTCCTGTTCCGACTGGGTCCGCACCCTGACACTGGAGGGTACTGATTGGGCTGGGTCCCCAAAAGCAGTACAGAAAAACAATCCACTGTACTGGCTGAATAACCAACCTGCTTAGAAACCTTCATTAAAAATATTTTCAAACTAGCAAAAAGTAACACTAGTCAATGTGATAGACTTCTATAATTCACTTGTATGTAATGTAATGAACACAGCTGCCATGAACTATGACGAGTCATAATTAATTTACCGAAACGATAGTCAAGAACAAAAAATAGTAATGCATTTTTACAATTATTGTGAGAATTTCATATCATTTTAAATACTCTTTTGTAACAATCCCATGAACTAATTTGACTAAATAAACAAAAATTGTTGAATTTCAATGAACTAAACATCCTATTATCCTGACCATAAAGTTGATAAAATTTTAGTTTATGTTTTGACGTAACAAGATGACATCATTAATTGAAGAGAATAATGGGAACAAAAATTTATTGGACAAAAAAAAGCTTTGAAATTTTACAACTTTTTTTTAAAATGGGAAAGATAGATTTGAAAGATATTTTCTGGGACTACAAAAATATTTTTGTAAATCTCTTTAATTATTTTTTATATTTTTTTCAACAAGTTTTGATAAATCACACTTATTCAACTACACTCAGGTTAGGGCAGAATTAAGTTTTCAATCTTGGAATGTATACTTAAAGATAAACTCCCAGCTAAACAATGGTCCTACTATACTTATTTAAGGTACACAAGAATGAGTCATAAAATATTTACCGTATTTTACGGACTATAAGATGCACTTTTTCTTCAAAAAAATTGTCTCCAAAATTCAGGTGTGCCTTATACTCGAAATTAATATAAAAATGGTAAAAATATAATTTTTTTTAAAAATTGCTTAAAAATTAAGGTGCGTCTTATAGTCTGTAGCGTCGTATGGTCTGTTTATAAAACAAGAAGCAACTGAACTTTATATCTAAGTTAATAAAAAATAAACCAAAAATGCCAGCATGATCTGTATAAGAAAAAAATGACCCATATAAACATCTTAAGATGGACATGAACAATTGGTCACAAAGAACTTTGAATTTAATAACAGAATGTGAGTTTAAAATCATTTATCCTAGCAAAAAATTGATGAGGTGGCAGTTCTTTTAATTTAGCAGTTATTATTTCAACTAAATTTTGTTTTAATCATTTAAAAATAATCTTTGTTAAAAGAACAATTTTAAAAAAGAAACTTAGCTTATCACAAAGATTATTTCTTTGATATTTTTTTCCCATGCTGTACCCGAATTCCTCACATATATACCCAAGATTTTCCCATGCTGTACCCAAATTCCTCATATTTACCCAAGTTTTTTCCCCATGCTGTACCAATTTTCCTAAAAACTACCCAGGTTAAATGTCAATGCATAGAAAATAATATAGCTCTGCTCTGTTTATAAAACAACACAGTGTGAAAAAAAGATGTTAGAAAATCTCAGGAAAAAAATGTTGTGGTCAGCTGATGGCTGATTTACTGGTTCGGTCAACGATGTTGGAACTATTGCGGTAGAAAAACACCTGCAAGAAAAAAGAAAAATAGTAAAGGGTACTTTAAAATGTTTTTTTAAAAGCATTTTTTCTTTTCTAGTTTCCCCATATCCTTTCCAGCTTTTCCTTGACACAGCTTGAACATAATCCTTTATATATTATAAAAATGGGATCAGCATCAGATTAAGATATACCATTCCTACATAAAAAATGGTTGGAAAAATCATGATGGTTTAGAGCAGATTAAATTAATGATGATAAAGTGACTTGATTTTGATGGCATTAGAACAAATTAATGGTGATAGTCTAACTAATCTGACTGGAGTTTTTTTAAGGACAGATTTCAATGAAAACTTTAATCCAAAACAATCAATATGAAATTCATCAGACATTATAAATGAGTTATGTCAATTTGATAACAGCTCTACTGAAGTGGCTCTGACACTTGTCTTTCAATGCTTCACTCTACCCTAGTGTTTGGGAAAAAGGGGGGGGGGGGTTAAAGTAAAGCCAATGAGAATTAACATTCACTAGAAAAGTTTTACTAAACCAAACCGACCACATGGCAACTGGAAATCTCAGCAGTTAATTGTTCATAAGCATCACTGTTGTGTAAAATGCTATCATCTTGATTTTGCTTGTGATTATTTATCTTGATCTTTAAATAATTATTTTAAAAAAACAAACACAAAACTATGTATTAAAATTGGCTAAACCACCAATTAATCAGCTGAGTATTTCAGAGGGTAATTTGATGAGATCAAGTTCAAAATGATAGAAAATAACTGACCTGCATAAAAATGAAAAACTGACCAAGATAAAAATGACTAACTGGCCTGCATACAAATGGATAATGACATGCATAAAAATGGATAACTGACCTGCATAAAAATGGATAAGTCAATGGACACCTGGAGCATGCCACAAATCCAAAACTGTGCTGGAGCCTCTCGCAAGATAAAGTAAACTGTCTTGAAAATGTCACCACAAGTCCAGAACCCAACCATTTTACGACTGAAAGAAACACATAGTCTGTCAATTACATTCAGAACCCAACCATTTTACCACTGAAAGAAACATATAGTCTGTCAATTACATTCGGAACCCAACCATTTTACCACTGAAAGAAACATATAGTCTGTCAATTACTTTCTGAACCCAACCATTTTACCACTGAAAGAAACTATAGTCTGTCAATTACATTCGGAACCCAACCATTTTACCACTGAAAGAAACATATAGTCTGTCAATTACATTCGGAACCCAACCATTTTACCACTGAAAGAAACATATAGTGTGTTGCTAATTTTCTAGTTCAAATTTAATAATTCCCAAATGGAGAAAGATCAGCCTACTTTTTTTTTTAATAAACAATGACACAATGGGACACACACACACAAAAATTCAAGGATAAGATATAAGGGACTGTGTTCAAGCCATGAGAAGGAAATAGAATGGGATCAGTGAAAAGTTGAAAGGAAAAAAAAACCAAAACAGGACAATCAAATGACTAAGCAGTTAGTTATCTACTGCAGTTGTAAATAATCTGACATCAACATTTAATTTTACATACAAAAGATTGGACTGAGATGTGATTTCATTATAAATATGTCCAAAAACAAATGGACGTACCCAACTCTACTGCCCCGACTTAATTTTAGCTTTGGTAACATTTATGAACGAACCTCATGCCAACTGTCGATTTCTTTTGGTAATTTCTGAGGAACTGTGGAGCACCCAACATGGCTTCTGTGAATACAGCCATAAAGCCGAGGAGTTCAATGTAGATTACACTGTTGATGAACAGGTAGGTAAGCAGGCCTATCACCAGGGAAAACAAGGAGACGAATTCAAGGTAGCTGAGGAAATCTGTCCACCGCCAGAAATAGGCTGGGTCAAAGTCTATGGAAGAGGAAACTTGCCATTTAGGAAGTTATCAAATTGTTTTTTTGGTTTTAAAAAAAAAAAAAAAAAAAAAAAAAAAAAAAAAAACTTCATAACATTGTAATCAAATCTGAATTGATTCCTTGCTAAGGAAAGTGAAATTTTTACAAATTTAACTCTTTTTTTATTGTTTAAATGCTTCATTTATTCATAAGCACAGCCATTTGTTTATTTTAAATAGGTTTTTACAAAAAGATGTAAGATTAAAAATTTAAAATATGACATGATCAGCCCTGACTAATGAAATTTATTTTTCTTACTGGCATAAAATCCTATCATATTTATTATTGTAAAAAAAAAATGTAATTAGTTATAATTAAAGAAAAATATCTACATAGCAAAGTATATTATCACTAAATTACATTTTAAGTACTGTTAAAAAAGAAAAAAAGGTTAATTTAAAACCCACAGAATGGTACCAAAATATCCATTACATACATGATAACCCAATCTAGTCCAAGTTTTAGTCATCTGCACCACCTTCAAGTGTAATGCGTAATATTTTAAATTTTGATTTTCCTGAAGTGTTTGCTGAACTAATTGCTATCACTAAAGGGAACCCTGAAACAAATAATTACATGTAATTTTTTTTTTTTTTAAACTGGGCATTAAAAATATTTTAAAACAGTCATTGGTAGTAGCTAGTTACTAATTGGAACCTTATAGTTTAGGGCGTATAAAGCACCCTTAGAGAATCAACGCAATTTGCTGTTACAAAAGTGCAAAAAGATGGCAGAGCTTAATTGTATTCCTAAACTATTTCATAACAACTATTTATCATCACACCGAAAAAAACAGCTCAGTAATTTACTTGATTTTATGTCAATAATCTCCTTTATTCTGTTTTTGTTTTAATTTATTTACTAGCACAAACTTTGAGAATAAAAGACATTCTACAACTATTTTTACTCTCATCAGACTCTAATGACTATTGTTTTCATTTCAATTCTGTCTCATCTTCAAGTCATGCTTTGTTTGAAAGTCATTACATGTCAACCTTAAGTCAACCTTGTCAAATATGTCATCTGTCATCACAAAATATGTCATCTATCATCACAGACAGCTGCCACCAGCTATCATCACAGACAACTGCCACCAACTAACATCCCAAACTCTGCCACCAGCTCTGCGCCCATGAAATACAATGATGTCATATGTCAGACACATGTATTGGCTTGCATTGCTTCTAACACTTGTGATGAATCATGGAAATATGAGTTCTCACAACTGCCTTGCGTTACTGTTGTAAGCTCCCATTGATTTTGATCTTGACAAGTTGAATGAAATTAGTGATACCCCTGCGTGCATGTCTTTAAGATTTGCAAAGTACATTGAGTTCATGGGCACCCCAAGCTTTTTAGTAATATGTCTGGAACAGCTCTAAAGCTTTGGGTACTTTAATTTATAATTCGTAGTAAATTTTTGGAAAAGGGTGTTTTTTAAAAAGTATTTCTCTCATGTTATTTTTTTGTATTCATGCTTTCATGGTGAAATTCAGTCACTTGAATTAATTCTCTATAATAAGCCACATGTTTGTAGATCTTCTCACCCAAGTTTGGAAAGCGATGTGTGATAGGATAGCTCATTATATTTGATCTGTATATGGTGCTGGGGGAGGGGGGGGGGGGGTCGGGGGGGAAGCAAATTTTACTTTTTTTAGGGGTGTATGACCATTTTTAGTTTTTCCTTTTGTTTTTGATCTTCTCACCCAAGTTTGGAAAGCGATGTGTGATAGGATAGCTCATTATATTTGATCTGTATATGGTGCTGGGGGAGGGGGGGGGGGTCGGGAAGGAATCAAATATTACTTTATTTAGAGATGTATCACCATTTTTAGTATTTCCATTTGATTTACAGTACAACTGTGAGATTTCCCCTGGCAGCTAGCAAGTAATTGTAAATGTAGAAGTAGAAGTTATTCAGGAACCACACAATCTATAATATAATAACAATATGCACTACATCATGCATTAGGTAATAAAAGTATGAGGCAGAAGGTTACGATTGGGCTACATATCTTGATGCTATATAGGTAGCAACAACAGGATAGAAATTATAAAAAAATAAGAGGACTCTCACAATATTAAAAGCTAATAACAGATAGACAAGGTAAATGTGGAGGAGATATAAAATAAAAATGTTACAATTCTACACCCTTTCATTACCTCTATAACCTTATCATTACCACTAGCATTACCTCTATACCCTATCATGACCATAATCAAGTAGAGAATCTATCTTTATGGTGATTTATTTGACATACTTTATGTGTCAATCTTCATCATAAGCTTCTTGGTAGTAATGTTAGAATTCTCACTTCAAAATCAATGTTTGCAAGCAGAGTTGCTATTGAAAATGTATAACTGTTATTTATCCCTTGTATTTGCTTCCCTTGTATTTGCTTCCCTTGTATTTGCTAAGTGAAATTTTACCTTCACACAGCTATTTTAAATTAAAAAACCTAATTTTTTAAGTTGCTACTTCTGATAGTTTTTTTTTATACTAAAACCTAATTTTTTAAGTTGCTACTTCTGATAGTTTTTTTTTATACTAAAACCTAATTTTTTAAGTTGCTACTTCTGATAGTTTTTTTTTATACTAAAACCTAATTTTTTAAGTTGAAAAAAAGAAAGGATGAAACACTACAAGCTTTTGTTTATTTTTAGACATGCCAAATAATAGGAAGAATCAAACATTACACAAAATTAATGTTTAAATATGGTAATCAGCTCAGCCTGTACTAAGAGACCTATTAGTATGTACAGATCAATAATCTTTGGTCAAATGAAAAGGGTCGCAATCATAAAAACTAAATAAAAAAGGGAGGTGAAATGTTTATCAAGGGAGGTGAAATGTTTATCAAGCAAAATGCAGGTAGTTAAGGTAGAGAGGCTGTGCTAGGGGGTAGCCAGTGCATGTAGCCACCTAGAGAGAACATTTACATACCAAAAAATGAATGCACCTGGGCGTCTATGGACGGTATATCACTACCACCTGGGAAAAGGTTTAATTCACTCAGGGTTGGTTATAATGTTAATGGTGAGACTGACTATTTCAATGGTGAGACATCAATAGTGTAAATCTTCGTTATGAAGAAAATTTATTTTTATGTATGCAAAATAATTATTTTACAGGGGAAAAGGTCATTGCTGAAGAATTATCATTGTGTGCAGATAGAAAAAACAATCCTAAGCCTTTGTATTAATTTGATAGAGTTGATCAGTTGGACATAATGAACCATCTCTTAAACAGGAGGGAAAACTTCTAGTGACATGAAATAAGTGAAACAAGGATTAGAAGAAAGTGAATACAATTTGAGTTACCATATCTTTATAAGAACTGAAGCCAATATCTTGATAAATCTAAAATATAATAATTTTTTTTTTCTTTTACTTGTCAATCTATTTTAGCCATATAGATATATAATTTTTATAGCTTTGATATTATTTAGTATTTTTGTTGATATGTTGTTGTTTTTTTAAAATTCATTGTTTATTAATTTCAATTTTTTTAAATATCAGCTTGTCAGTAACCTGAAAGCTGAAGTTTTTTTTAATGATATTTGGATTTTTAATTTTATTTTAAAATTTGGAGGTTAGTTTTAAATATGTAACCATTTATTTTGTTTTAATGTCTAGCCTATTATCTGTGGGTAGTCTGATAACAGGACTGAAGAATCCCTTTGACATAGCCACTTTTGCACCAAAATTTATAGTCTTATAAAGTTGAGAGAGTCAATTCTTGAATTCTTTGATTATGACAAGTCTACAAATTTACACTTAAATAACATAATAGTATTGAAATTGCTAGAGATTTGTGTGCACGTGGTACCACATTTATTTAAACTTTTCCTCTGAAATGTACTACAGAGATGTTCCCCAAACCAACCAATTTAATATCCGACAAGTTAAAACAAACTTAGACAAAAAGTTATGGAAGAATGCTGGCAAGGAAGCAAGGGAAACAATACACAACATCGAAGTAAAGGCTTGACTAGTTGGAAAGTGCCAAAAGAGCATTCAGAGATAACACGCTAGTGTTAATATACACAAATACTCAAAGTCAGTATGTATCCCTATTAGGTCATTTACCTGTAAAGTGAAATGTTCACAGAAAGTGAGGTTGTCAAAGGACATGTTTAGATGATAAGAAATTCAACTATTATGAACTAAACAGGGTCATGACATGTAAATATTCTGATAAAGCAAGTTTTTAATGATTTTTTATAATTATTCAAAACTATTTTATCATCTCAGTCAGCTTATAATATTATTTTTATGCCATGTAATATTCAAGACATTTTAAAAAACTCAGGATTTTAATGGTGAAATGTTTTTATTAGAATTCTTTGTAATCTGGCACATTCTCTAATAAAAACTGAACACATTCCATTTTTAACTTATAAAGCTCTTTCATTAAAAATTTTTTTTAAAGAAACTAGGCATCATAGGGTCATATTATAGAAATTTTTTTATTAGATTGTGATATGACTGCAATTCTGGACATGTTTAAACAACACCACTTGAAATACAATTTACCTTTTATTGATTATTCCCCAATGTTTTGTTGGATTATACAATGTTTAAGAAATGTATAATTATAATAATTTATCCAATGAACAGAGCCCATTCGTGCACAATGAACTAACATCTGCTGTGGACGTCCTGTTTCTTCTTCTTCTTCTTCTTCTTTATTTTGAGGGCCCACGATCAATGAATTGATCATTCTGGCTCCTATGTTTTACTCTGGTTATCATGTTCAGCACTATCATCTCCTTTAGCAAAATTTGAAAATATTACTTGATTTATTACTTTAACTGAATAAAGATATTAAACATTTACATACCAGTAAACCTCCGCTGCTTTGAAGAAATTATCTCTGTTCGACTTTTGACATCAACACATAATTGAACCAAAATAAGCATGGTGAAAATCATGATGATACTTTGAGCTAGAAGAGGTAATTCAAAATGTTTGCCGAACCTGCAAAAAAGAAGGTGTTTGCTTTTTTTAACTTAGAGGGTAGTTTGCATTTAATTCTTTCAACTAAAAAGCTTCAATCTCACTTAAATCTGTGAGAGCATTGCAAATTGTCACTGCAACCAAACTGTTTATAGCTTTTTTTTTCCATATTAAAATTAGTTTTACCATCAACTGTGCATAGCAGCAATATCCAGAAAGCTTTAAAACTGAAGCTAACAAAAAGTTTTGTAGTCAGGAAGCACCAAAGATAGTCCAGATTAACTGATGTGGTGTCACAATTAAATGGTTAGGTAGCACCAAAGATGGTCCAGATTAACAGGTGTGCTGTCACAATTATTTGGTTAGGTAGCACCAAAGATGGTCCATATTAACAGGTGTGCTGTCACAATTATATGGTTAAGTAGCACCAAAGATAGTCAAGATTAACTGATGTGGTGTCACAATAAAATGATTAGGTAGCACCAAATATGGTCCAGATTAACTGATGTGGTGTCACAATTAAATGATTAGGTAGCACCATAAGTAGTAGGGAGCTGAACTCCAAATCTGCTTTCCGAAAAAAAAAAGGGTGTGGGGGGCACCAGAGGCAATAGTCTTACTGTATATTATCTCAAAACTGTTTTCTTTATCTGTGCTATGATTATGTTTTTTGCATTAACTCTTTAATAAAATTAATTTAAAAGCATGCAATTCACAAAATAAAATTAAAATAATTAACCATATATCAGGTGGTGTAATGTGGCTGCTTTAAACCGGGGTCGGGCAACCTTTTTGGCCAGAGGCCCACATGAAGATTATTTTTGCTCGGGGATGCCAAATGAAAATTACTTTTCCTTTGGCGGGCCACATGCTAATTTTTTTTTTATGTATCATTATGGGCTTCAAGAAATCATTTCAAGTTCAATTCACAAATAAGCAGTGGAATAATGTTAAAATTGTTTACGATGATCATCGTTATTAGTCTGACAATTTTATACGGATTATTAATTATTTTCAATGGCTTATACAAATAATCATTCAGAATTTTTACATTTCACAAAAACATTTAAAGTTCTCTGATGGTCTTAGTGACCGCTTTAAACATTTAAGCTGGCTGCATGTAGTCTTCGAGCAGAAACTTACCCAACCCTAGGTTAAACTATATTAATAATATTTTATAAGGAAAAAGTAATTTTGTGAAACCCTTTGAAAAATTAGTTCAGTAAATTTAATTATTCCCATTAGATGACTCGTGCAAATTAAATTACTGCTAGTTCATTCATTTAAATTTTATTTCATACTAACTTAGTAATCAAGCATATTTAATGAGTTTCATACTTTTACTTACATATTTTCATACACTACAAATTTTACTTAATTATTTTTAGATAGAGAGAGCAAATCATTTCTACTTAATGTGTAAGTAACCTACCAGAACATTATTCGAAGAATGTTTGCTATCAACAGTGCCAGGCAGACAAACAAAGAAAACCCATCAGCATTCCTTGAACGCCAAATATCAAGGTATTGAGGTATAAATGGCACCACACCACCAAGTACCATAGCAGCTTGTGAGCCGATGCTGATCATGTCAATGATGGTGAAACCCATTATGCTGAAGGTTGCAATATCAAAATCACTGACGAAATTCATGACCAGTGTTGGATTTGTTTGCTCGATAGAAATGATCTATAAAAACCTTTGAAAATAAATAATTTATGTGGATAATTTTTAGTGGGAAATATATCACCATCATGTTTAATTAGTTTTTGAAGTATGTATTTGTTGTCTAGCCTATTTGTTGTCTGTCAACCGCTGCTTTTTATCTTGAAATCTATAGTTCACATATGACTTTAGTATATTGGGCACACTGACCCAGGGAATAATAGTAACAGTCAATAAATAAATTGTCATAAGTTGGCATAAGAAGATGTGAAACATATTGCAAGCTTGTCATCATCAGTGTTGTGATAATCAGGCTGGACTGGATACTTAACTTTTATGACTGCTATTTAATATTAATTTGGAAGAGAGAGTGTAGCCATAAATGAAAATGATAAACTAATAAATATTTCATGATTTTGTAAATAAGTAAATGTAGGCTACATAATAATCTTAGGCAATCCTCCAAAGTCCGGTCCCAAATTATTTCGTATGAAAAAAATTGAATGACAGTGTGTATTGTTAGAAATCAGCAGAAATGTCAGTCATAGCTTTTGCAAATAGCTGTCACTTTACAAACCAGTCAGTAAATGCTAAATATTGTAATTGGCGCATAGCATTTGCAAATAGCAGATGAAAACGTTCTGCCTGTGACTGTTGCGCCACTGAAAGGCCCCCAAGGCAATTAGACAGCGACTAGTATTACTCTGATAGCCAAATTTACATTTCGCTTGCATCAAAAGTCTTTCAATAGTTTCTGTGTGAATGTCTTGGTCTACTGGATCAACAAATTCACGCGCATGCACAATGACAGCGTGAGCATAAATCCTGTTGTTGAGCTGACCAACAGTTTGATACTTTGTGTGGTGCTGTCGTCAGCCAACCATTTAAGAACTAGGTCAAGATGCATAACAAAAAACCCAAATAAAATATGCATTGCTAGTGCTGTGCTACACAGATGATAATAAATATGCTAAGCTACAACAGACTTACTGGAGTTAAGTTGTGCTTAAAGTAATCATTGTAGAGACGTGAATACAATAATATTATTATTAATAATACAATACACACTATACATTGCAATTTTTTTCATTTGATACGAAATAATTTGGGACCGGACTTCGGCCTTCGGAGGATTGCCTAATCTTGAGACCAATAATATTAATTATTAATAGTAATAGGCTTAGTATAGCCTAAATTAAATGAAGTAAATCATAATTAAATGCCGGCAATCCTCCGAAGTCCGGTCCCAATTTATTTCGTATGAAAAAAACTGCAATGCACAGTGTGTATTGTTAGAAAACAGCAGATATGTCAGTCATAGCTTTTGTAAATAACTGTAACTTTACAAACCAGTCAGTAAATACTAAATGTTGTCATTGGCACATAGCATTTGCTAATACCAGCCGAAAACGTTCTGCTGGTGACTGTTGCGCCACTGAAAGGCCCCCAAGTAGCTGGCAAACAGATCGCGACTAGCGGGCCTACCACTCTGATAGCGGAGTTTACGTTTTGCTTGCATCCAAAGTCCTTCAATAGTGTGAATTTCCTGGTCTACTGGATCAACAAATTTACGCTCGTGCACAATGACAGCGTGAGCATAAATCCTGTTGTTGAGCTGACCGACATTTTGATATCCTCGCCAAGCGTCCGTGACGGTAGTTGTTCCTGGTAACACATGATTAGTGATAATGCGCATCTGGACGGCCAACAACCTCCATCTAACATCGTCCACTAACGCAAACATGAGTTTCAAAACAGAATGATGCCCAAGAATTTTAAGTAAGGATTAATCATTGGAAATAATTTGGGACCGGACTTCGGAGGATTGCCTAAATGCCTAAGCCTAAGCTTAAAGTTTTAAACTAACTACATTTAAATTGAAGATCAATACTGATTGTCAATAGTGGGATGATCCAACAGTGACAACATCAATGGCAATAATTATCACAAACAAATACAAATCCAAAGCCAAATGATTTGTCACAAATCACACATGACATGAGTTTTAGTTTTAAAAAGTTGAATGAATGATTTAAGTTTAGTGAGTCAAGTGGAATTGATTTCATATTATTAACAACGCTAACATACATGAAAATCAAAAATCCTCTGCAAATGACGAGAAGAATATAAGATTCCTTGGACCAATATATAAAAAATAATTAAATTTTAAGTGGAATTGATTTTATATTATTGAACGAGGCACATTCTTTGAGAGACCGTAGTCAACGGGAAGTTCGCCACCCACTTTCTACTTCCGGAAACATAGTGGTACCTATAGCCTATAGCCACTTCGTTACTTAAAATCTTGAAAAAAATCGCTAGAATTCATGAAATATATTAGAGTAGGGAGATGAAAATGTTTATGTATACAAAAAAAAAAAAAATTAAAACACATGAATATAAACATGACATAGAATTTAATAAACCAAAAGTTTAAGAGTTGAAACAGGGACCTATGTTGAAACTTGGATAATTAGTGGGTATCTTACTTAAAAAGGAAAAGTGGGGTGGAGGACGAAGAGGTCTACACCGTGGGCTGCCTTTATGCTTATTACAACACTATATAACACTATTTAATTGACGTGCGTTAGGGGTGCAATTTCGGAGTTGTCCCACACGGCATTTAGTGAAGGTACGCCACAGGGTAAATCGCACAAGGTCTGAAAATGTGTGTCCAATAATAGACAGTTGTCTCTAGTCCATTGCGGGGTTAGGACCCCTCCACCGACAGGCGATAATCACTGCCACTTTTAGTTCTTGTTTTTTTTTTGTTTGTTTTTTTCCCCAAACACCCGCATTCGATGATAGTTTTTAGATTTTTTCCCGTAATAATTTTGGACCCCTTTAATATCAGAGATCCTCTGCAGCCGCAGTTCAGCAAGACCCACGCAAAGGTTATGTAGCAACCCCACTATAATCTACCCCAACTATAAATGCTAAAATTTATATTCATTAGAAATGCGTCAAAAATGACTATAAATATTTGAACCTACCTGACAGCCATAGTTACCTTTTATACCCATCTTCCCGCCCCAAATCATGCAAAGGCTCTATATCCTGCGCACAACTTCTAAGACTACGCGTCTCTGCCAACTTGATGAGGAATTTTTGGAAAGAGCTGATGAAATGATGGATTTCTTCCGCTCCAGATCCTATCCTGAAACTACTCTTGTCTCAGCACTAGGCGCATTTGCTGGCCCAACAATTTGGAACACACTTCCTGTCGCTCTCAGAAACAGCCAGACTCTGGAGTCTTTCAAAACTGAATTGAAAACATAACATCTATTTCGCAAACACCTGTTGGGGTGAATTTGTCTACCATCTTTTCCAGCTAACTATTATCTCCTAGATGTAAAGTGGCCTGTGCTGTTTATGGTTGCAAGGGATGAAAGCCTTAGAATGGGTATTCTCGTATGTAGTTTTTGTAATGTTGCGTTTTGTATTTCAATGTGGTCAAATATAGATTTTTTCATTTCTTTTTTTAATATGGATGATTTTGTACTACGCTTTGAGCCTTTGGGGATGAAGCGTGGTTTTGAAATAAGCTTTATTATTATTATTATTAGGTCGCATCGACACGATCACACGGACAGATGCTTTCAAGCCTCGTCAAAACAACGATGAAGAGCGTACCAAACTTATACTAACCCTCACAATTTAACTGACAACAAAAAAAAATATTCCTACAAAATCGCAGCATACTTCTTGCTGACCCTGATACTAACAAGGTATGATCATCCCCTCCACTGATTGTCTTTTTTTTTTCTTTTTTTTTTTTGGAGTGGGCTTCGTAGGACGAAATCCACATAGCCTGGGATTATTATACTTGAAGCTGGTTCCCAACAGCAAATCGCCTCTCTCCACGCCGCTGGGTAACCCAAGGGAAAATCATTGGATGATACAGCTTGTGTCCAGTGACGTCGCAGGAGTTGTCGGAATGTTTCATTGTATCAATGTTATCCGCCTTTCGGGTATCACTGTTATCCGCCTTTCGGGTTTGATTTCAGAGTTTCCTTCTCTTAGATGAGTTGCCGTCCAAGGTTAACGAGTCCCATCTACCCGGGGTGCTGGTGGTGTTTTTGCTCTAGCTGGAATTGAACTCCAGACCACCAACTTGAGATTTGCTCGTTTTAGACCACTCGGCCACGCAGCACCCATGATGATTGTCTTTAGACGGGACAAAACTCTAGGTGACCTTCTGGTTCATAGTCGCCTCCGATCTGACCCATCCTACTTTGATACTAAACCATGCTTAAGAATCCGCTGTAGGACATGTCCCTTCACACTCCCAACTAAAGGTACCTTTACCATCAAAGAGGGTTTCACTTGCATCAACCGCAATGTGATATATGCGATTGTGTGCCGTAGATGCCAATCTAGTTACATTGGTGAAGCTGGGAGAAGATTGGCTGATAGATTCACTGAACATTTCCGGGATATTGAACAAGGCAAGCTTTCTCCAGTCTCTTCACATTTCAACAGAGATGAACATAAAGGTACATTAGATGTAATCATTAGGGCACTGATTTCCTGCTCTAACACACCAGACAGGGTTAAAATGGAAAATAGATTTATTCAGCTGTTTGGCACCATATCTCCATATGGTATTAATCAAGTAATTCCTACTAATGTTTCTCTGTTTCCCCGTATTTCTACTATCTGCTTATTGCTGTGTGATTAATGTATCCTTTGATATTTTGGTCCATTTTTTGTGGACCTTATTTTTTACAGTCAATATTTCTATTCTCTCACTTCCTGTAATCCGACTTCCGGCAACAAAAATGGTTATATCGTGAGTTGTTTACTGTGGTCTGTTCTTTTTGATATTTTCATTTGTCCTGTGCGCTGAAGAAGGCTCTATGCCCAAACGTTCAAATCTTATTGTCCTGTCCTTTAATTCAAGCTTCAATATACCTCGTTTGCTATATAGAATTATAGAGAAGTATCTCTTTAAACTTTAGAAATCTTTTGTACCAAATGTTAAAAAAACAACTTCTCATGGCGTAGAATTTGTTTACTTTTATCATCCGTACTAACACAACAATTAATTGACTAAAGCGGTATTTTATCGATATTCTGACACTTTTTTTTATCAAAACAGATAAAGTACATCTCTTTGGCCTTGGCAGGAAATGCAATGGAAGAAGTGGAGCCCTTCACATATTTCACCAATGACTTAAATGCTTGATTAAAAGTCAGATTTTCAACACAAATTCATTTTCAAATTATGTCAAAACAATTGCTGTCCTAATCTATTGTCTATCCTATAGACTATAGTCTATGTATGGAGCCAAAATTGATGGGATAAAACCCATACGTACGTCAGTAAGTAATATAGTTTAAGTTTCGGATATTCAAAAATCAATTTTTTTTTATCTAAGGCAGGTGCTATTGTACTGAGAATACTGGGTTTTTGGTGGCACAGGAAGAGAGGGTCTGTGCTGTTTTCTTGTTGAAGCGCCAGACTGATGTGAGATCATTTTACTTACAGTAGGCTGAGAAGGGCATGGCATAGTAAGGTCCTTCCAGGTTCACATTTAGTCTCGGACGGATCGGCAGCTTAACTCTCAAAAGACGGGAGATTGAAAAATCGGTCATATATGGCGGGTGAAAAAAAGGACCCCTAATATATATATAAAAATAATATTAAAAGGCGAAAATAAAGATTTACTATTTTGGAATGTTAAATTTCTATTTGGCAAGAAAGAAAAATCGTTTATTTTACTAGTTCTTGAAGAAATCTGGTAGCAACTTGTCCATTCATAAATTTTACTTTTCGCCATTTACTCATATTTCGCCACAATTCCGGTTCACTGTTACTACACTCTAAAACATTGCTATGGAATCTGATTCTGTTATAAGCTTGAAATGGACAACTATTCTTACTTAGAGGAATATTTTTGATGAAGATAGCACTTCAGATGTGTCTGATACCGATAATTGTGTAAATTATCATCATAATAATACCATCCAAGGTTTGTTTACTTTTTTCATTCATACTCAACTCACGCATACTGTGATACTTCTTAGCACTATTATTAGCCCTAACATTAGTTTTATTCAAGTTCCAGTAGTATAAAATTCTTCAATAGATTAAATTATTTATTTGTTTGAAACTAATTTGTAGTTATACAATTATTTTAATATTATTACGTTTCAGTTAGCAAAATGTAAACAATGGTTCTCAAGGCCAAGGCTATTACTATTATTACACTGTAACAATCAGCTGTGTTCCCTTTTCAATGAAAACTTGAAGTAAAAGTAATTTAGGCAGATTGTTTATTATTTTGAATTCTTTTTATTTATATTTTAATTTTTTTATTTTAGCTAAACTAATTTTTTTAAAAATATTTTGACAGCATCTATGAAGGGCAGATGTCAAACATAGTCAATACAATGGGTTATGATGACAAAAGACTGTGGGACTCTTTGCTGCATTTAGACCAGAGGTGAAAAGCACTATTGCTTCCTGATTGGGGGGGGGGGGGGGGGGGGAGTGTTGGGAGAACTGGCATAAACCCAGACTCTGTTCTCTTACATATTATATTCTTTTTATCCATTAAACTGTTTATGGATTATATTCTTTTTATCCATTAAACTGTTTATGGATTATATTCTTTTTATCCATTAAACTGTTTATGGATCTAGTTTTAACAATTTTGTGTTGGTAAGAATATTTATTTTCTGAAAGGAATTTCTTTTTATTAGGATTAAAATTTAAAAGAATCTTATCTTAACTTATCATATCAATTAAATTAATGACCAGAAAAATAGCCATTCAGACTCACAAAACACGAATTTTGCTAGATTACCACCTAACTAGTGATAGACCGCTAATTAATTGATTGAAGCTGTTAGTCCTAAAAACTAGTATTGACTTAAATTTTAATAGTGTGAGGATAGACACAGTGGCGTAGCTATGGTTGGTGTCACCCTGTGCTGTAAACACAGGGTGTCACACACACACATACAAACCCCCCCCAACTTTCACGATGGATTTATTCTTGTTAAAGTAAGTTCACAACAGTATAACTATGACAATAATAAAAACAAAGCAATTGAAGGTCAGGAGGTAAATTTTTCAAAGAATTGTAACAACGTAATGTTATAATTATTTTTACATTAAATCTACTTTTTTAAAATTGAAATTGATTATTTAAAATTAATAGAAAATTGTGTAAAATATTTCTTATATCTTACGCATAAATCGTGAACTTTTTATAAAGCACGCATTTTGATGGGTTACATATGTGGAA